GGACTGCGGGTAGAGGGGAGCATTTCAGGTGAGGGACTGTGGATAGAGGGGAACGTTTCAGGTGAGGGACTGCGGGTAGAGGGGAGCGTTTCAGGAGCAACTGGTGGTGTCAATACACAGTGCTGAAGTGTGCAGCAGAAGACTGGAAAGAAGTCATCCTTCCTGGGGCCAATGCAGGGTGGAGCCCTTAAACCTCTGTGATACTGAAGCCACCCCGAGGGAAGGGGTCAGAATCTGGCTGCTGCTGCTGCTATCAGAAGATCACTCCAGGTCCTGTGGATAGCAGCAGGGTGGAGTCAGCTAAGCCAGGAAGCCAGACCCGGGCCAAATGGGTGACAGCTGAGTATTGACTTAAGAAGAGAAGGTTTTGAAAATAGCTAGCTACTGGATTAAATGGTCGTGAGATTTGTTACTTGGCTCAATGTTCAACTTACTAAAAGAGGGGTACACACGCTAAGGACAATTCAAGGTTGTCAACTCAAGGAACAGGTTAGAGATGGAGACCATGAACGCACCATCAAGAAGTGTTGGTCCTCAGCCGGGCGTTGGTGGCGCACGCCTTTAATCCCAGCACTCGGGAGGCAGAGCCAGGCGGATCTCTGTGAGTTCGAGGCCAGCCTGGGCTACCAAGTGAACTCCAGGAAAGGCGCAAAGCTACACAGAGAAACCCTGTCTCGAAAAACCAAAAAAAAAAAAAAAAAGAAGTGTTGGTCCTCAATTTATCTGTCCAAACTACATAAACTACCACGACAATTCTGTCACTACTGGGCTGAGGAATATGCTTTGGTTCTCCTTCCTGCTTCCACCCTCAAAAATAAAGAGATCAGAGGCTGGATAGGCACAGCAGCCTGCCTGGAACCCCAGAGCCAGAGGAACAGACATGGGATCCTACAGCAAGCTGGCTAGCTAGACCAGAGAAACAGCTGTGTGCTGGGTTCAAGCGAAAGACCTTGCCTCAGTATAAGAACACACATGAATACACACCACACCAATTTAAAAATCCCAACAGACAGCAGGTATAACGCTGCTCAGTAACTTCCTCAAACTCCTACGCTCTCTGATCTGCAGTTCAGATGGACTAAGGAAGAACTGTAAAGGCAAGAGAAGTAGGAGAGTGATGTAGACGCACGCTAACGACCTCTGACCTCTAGGTGTGAGACAGGAGCATGGGCCAACGTTAAAAGAAGGAAGATGGAGACAGTCGCTCTACACCCCTCAGCATCCGTCCCACCTGCCCGGCATGTGTGGAAGAACAACAGCCATGTGACTATGAGTCTCCCCTTTTAAAATGTTCATCTAGAGTTTAGAATCAATCAAGTTATATAACCAGATTTTTAGTTTTTAAAAAACGATCTGAAATAATGCGTGTGTATCTGTGTATGGGTCTAGGCACAGGAATGCAGTGCCCGCGTGGCAGTCGGGAGGACCGCGCTGGAGCTGGACCACCGCTGGCTGTGAGCCACGGACTGGGTCCTCCACCACTGCAGCCAGTGCTCTCATAGCGAGCCGCCTCCTTCCCTCGGCAGACCTTAAACGGTCGAGAGGAACCCCACTTTCCATACTCGGGCTCGGCAGTTAAGAGCACTGGCTGCTCTTCCAGAGGACCTGGGTTCAATCCCCAGCACTAACATGGCAGTTCCCAGCTGTCTTTAACTCAAGTTCCAGGGAACCTAGTACATTCTTCTGACCTTCACAGGCACTGCACACACACGGTGCAGACATACACGTGGGCATAACACTCATATACCCAATATAAGCCAAATAAATAAAATAAAACTTAATTTCTGCCCTCTCCTCCGACTCTGCTCTTCTGAAAAGCAGGCAGGGCTTCTACCCGCTTCCCCGTTCTGTTAGTCTCTGTCCTCTCGTCTTCACTAAAGAGCAAGTGTAGGCACACGGGGCTGGGGCATGACGGAGGGCAGGAAGAGCTGCTGGTGGCTCCACCGCCAGCCAATGCAGCACCTGGGCTGTCCCTCAAATGAGAACATCCTCTCCAGCGGCCTCAGATCCCGCATTTAAAACTATACACAATCCCATGTTCAAAACTCCCCATTTTAGTACGTTACAAGTTGTGAAAATATCAAAATGTCCTCACCGCACAAAACTGAAACATTCTGTGGCCAATACATTATTCCTGTAGCGAGTGAGTGAGAACAGGGGCAACCTAAGTGCCTAAGGCACACGTTACAAGTCTGAGAAGTTTGGTTAAAAAGATCAAAACTCAGATGACTACTACTAGATCCCAGGGACTCTTATCTCAGGATAAGACACATCTCAACATTTGAAATCTAAGGGTAGAGAGAAACACTTGGCGACAGATACGTGAGGAAGGACTAAGCAGGGCAGTTCCAATGCAAAGAGCTCTGACAGCAAAGGCAGCATGTGCCAGGTGAGCTGCACTGGGAGCTGAGACAAGCCGGGCCAGATGCACTCTCAACAAACGTAAGGGGCAGCAGAGAAACACGCGTGGACGGTGTGCCCGCGGACAATGCGCTGCTGTCTTAGTTCAAGTTGTTTCACAAGGAGAAGGAACCGTGACTGAACTGTACTGACATTCTAAAATAGTTTCAAGTACCTGTACTGGAGTGGAACAGCAGCTGGCAAACAAGAGAAGGGGTATGTGTGATGGCCCATGCCTGAAATTCCAGTTCCTGGAGGCTGGGACTGGTGGATCGGGAGTTCAAAACCAGTTTGGGCAACATGGCAAAAATCTTGACTGGAAAATCAGTGAAACAACAAGAATCCATGCAGATGACTAACAGTGTGGTGATGCCACGGTGGCACCCAACTCACCTGGTCGTACCCATAAGGCCTCTGCTGGGGTGGCTGGGGTGGTCCCGGCTGTGCTGCTCGGTAGCCCCCATACTGCTGACCTTGACCCTGAGGATAATTAGGATACTGAGGACCTGGACCGCCCTGGGAAGGACCTGCAAGATAGTTAATACCAACAAACGCTCAGTAAAGCTGTACTGAGTCTTCACAATTTCAGGATTTCAAATGAGATGTTACATCTTGTGTCTAACTGAAAAGGACAGTTTAGCATCTTGCCTCTCAGGATGTGTTGTGAAATAAATGTTCATGGTTGTAGTAGAAGGGAAAACATTGGAATGCTGCTTCAGTGAAATAAGTGTGCTAAATGCACACACTGGGGGCTGGTAAGACAGACTCAAGAAGCAATAAATCAGGGCAACTCCATGATAATAACAAAGTTAATCTCTGCATCTATCTGTGTACACCAGTATAACTAAGAAGCCAGTCCAAATAATGACATAATTTCTGAATAAAGTTGGGGAATTAATGACATTTCTAACTGTGTGACTAAATTCACATTTGAAATCATCAAAATGGTAAGATTACACCACCATCAATAAACTTACCTCCACAGTATTTTAAAACAAAAACAAAGACTTAAAAACTCACAAGCTATATGTGAAAAAAGTTGACTAACTCCAGTTCTGAGGGATCCCATGCCCTCTTCAAACTTCCTGAAACACCATCCATACATAGTGCACACTCATACATGCAGGTGAAACACTCCTCCCCATATAAACAGACACACACACAGTGCACAC